TCAGGGAAAAGTCCTTATGATATTGACTTAGGGGGAAACTCTTGACAGAAGATTTATTTGTTATCTCCATGTGTCTAATGCCTCATCTCTCCTCTACCCTTTGGGGTGAGTGTAGAGTTAACTCTTGATAAGCAAAACCGTAGCTGGCCTAGAAGGTTTATAGAAGCAAAATACATGTATATTGAGTCTTGCTCACCCCCTTATACTTATTGCCATTACTATTAAGACTGGAAAGAGACAATGCAAAGTCAACATCCACTTTCTTAGAAAACATGTCTTGGAAGTCCTCATATACCAGAGAATCTAATGTGCTCCTTATCTTTGAGAAGTTATTGCTACAAATCTCCTGCCCCTTGATACTCATAAAATGGTAAAAATGTATGCAGGCACTGTGCAAGGAACCTATCATAGACAACTTATTCCTCACAACAATAAGAAACCACTCAAGCCAGCTAGTAAGTTACATTGCTGGCATCCATTTCTGTGTTATGGTATTTTTTTGTTTTTAATTTTGCCAGTCCTAGGGAATGAACTCTGGTCCTGGGCACTGTCCCTGACTTTTTGTGCTCTACCACTTAAGCCACAGCTCCACTTCCAGATTTGGGGTGGTTAACTGGACAACGGAGTCGCATATACTTTCTTGCATGTGTAGCTCAAATCAGGATCTTAAGACTTCAGCCTCCTGAAGAGCTAGGATTACAGGCATGAGCCACCAGCATCCAGCTCATGCTATCGTGTCTTTGACACTGTGTGTTGGTTATCAGGAACAAAGCCCTCTATGGAACTATACAAAATTAGCAGAAATGTGCTTCTACCTCAATAAGCACTATCAGAATCTGGCTCTGTGTCATAGATGCAAAGCATCACAATAGATTAAGGCTAAATCATTCATCTTTTTTCTACAAAAAATTCCATATCCAGGTCTACTATACAGTATATGATAGCCAACGTGAAGTTAGGATGGGTGAAAATGTTGTACAGATGCTACACACTATTATTTCCTTCTCCCTGACTAACATAAAGGATTTTTTGACCCAAACAACAGTCGGAAAACTAACAAAGCACTAGGTATTTCTGAACAACTCCATGAATATTCATTGTAATCACTATACTGTAATTATTTGGTAGTATGTACAGCCAGCACAACATGAATTCTAAAGTTACAGATTGAAAACAAAACATCATTTTTAACAAAATAACTAAAGATAATGCATACTGCCTTCTGGATAAAAATTAACTGTTCTACAATGAAACAGATATAAGGAAAACACGTAAAAGGTAAGTTTTAGAACTTAATGTCTATTTCTACAAATATTAGCCAAGAAAATACTACTTACGTTATTTGACTATATAGATTCAAACCATTACTTTCCTTATGACTAAAGACCAATAAAACATGAGCACAACAAATTTCTTCTCAACGTTTTATATAATGCAATAGATTTTTAATGCATCAAAATGCTTTACTGATTTTACCATGAGAAAAGATTAATAGATTCTTTGGTTATTTTTAATTTTACTATTCTAACTATCAAATAGGATAATATTTTTGGTTTGAACTAACTGCTGCCCAAATCAAATACCAATCAGGATCTAAACACAAAACAAAAAATTGAACAGAGATACCAAATGAGTAATGTACAGCAACCCTACTTATGCTTACTCAAAATGATCCCAACTTAAAAGTTTGTTATCATCAGTAACAGTCATTTTATTTTTCAGAACTATTTAAAGTATTCCTCAATTCAATCTTTATGTTTCTAACACTTTTAATGCACTTTTAATGCAAAAGTATAGAAATAATACAATGGGGAAAAACACAGATGGGATGTTCAACAAATTTCAAATGTACAGACAAGTGCAGGTCCCACTCCAAACCTAAAACAGGATAGTGTTGCTTGGAGACAAAGCAGCATGTCCCTGGTTACATTGCAATCTAAACATCAGTGAGAGAGAGGTCACCTCAGCTTCAGAAATGGCTAGGACAAATATTAAAGGGCATGTTCATCTTTTTCAACAATTTTTATTCTAAGTCAGTTGTCACATGCTGGCTTTTATTACCATTTAAACCTAGGAAAGAGATGAAAGACAGTTTACGAAGCACATCTAATGGGAAATGGAGAGGTAGAATCAAAGCTTCTTTAACTAGAAGACTGAAAACTGGTCATGTGTAATTAAGTATATGTAATGTGTCTACTCTGCTCTTGTATAACCTCCCAGTTGCTATCTGTCTCCCTTTCTTTCATTAAACTAAAGTAGTTAATTAGCCTAGGCCTGTCCTCTCCCCTTTCTCTTTCCCTTTTCACAGTAATAATGATGTCTAATTATCAGTAGCAGTGGATTACGGCAACATCAGGAGCAAAGCATCCCTCACTTACAGCAAAGCCAGCCAAGCACCTTGAAACCTCAAGCAGCTTAGAGCCATTCTTACTCTACTTGAAAATAATACTGAAATACAATACTTCCTTTTAACCAAACATGCTTTTGAGGTAAATACAAAATACACTTTTTATTTCCTCGCTGATTTTATTCCTGCTATTATGAAGACAGATCAACATGTTCTTAAGGAAGAAATAATTTGAGATATGGGGAAACAGGATAAAAAAAAAACCCTTTCCTTATTTGAAATGATGATTGGCTGTCTCTCAAGAGAAGGTGGAGCCTATAATTCTGTTAGGAACAGTAGAGATTTTTCAGAAAGAAGCTGTAGTCAGTTCATGAATTATAAACAGGCTTCAATGTTTCAAATCAGGCTTGAATGAAGAACATTCTTAAATACTACATGAAAATCATTATCTAAGAATATCACCTGACAGATGACATTGTCTCCCATAAATATATGGAATCTTTACTGAAAATAGAAACACATGACACATTATTACTACTGGAGTTGTCACTATAATAGATGTCTTAGCAGTAGCTCTTTAACAAGTCAGCATTAATTTTTATATGAAATACAGAGATCAAACCAGGAATTCAGGTTTGAGTAAGTGACATTTGTGGTCATCTTGGTGCCTCTAGAACCATTTTAGCATCTATGCTATTTAGAATTGTAATTGGTGTTTTTAAAAGACACACACATGAACACATATGATAGACATACCCAAATCTACACAAGTACAAACTCATTTGACCCATATACAAGTAAAGCTGTCTGACAGCTAAACAGAGGGCCCTTAGATTAACATCAAAAGCAAAAAAAGGCTACTAGCTAGCAATGTTTTCCTAAAGCCTATATGAAATTATTAAATAATACTTCAAGTAACTGTATCTTAACTGTTTTATTCATTCAGCTGGGATTCTAATTTACTTTCCCAAACAATAGATAATTTTATCTGGCACATTCTTAATGCTACTTCAAATATAAATGAATCAAAGCAATTCATTCTGTACAACAGACTTCTGGCTCATGCAGATGTAAATAAACCTCAAGTCTAATTCATGCCAATCTAGCCCTCATCACTTAGCAAGGCAAGACAATAATCTCATCCTTGTGTTTAACCATGTCACTTTAAAAGAGAAGGCTACATTTATAAAGATAACCTCTCGGAAACATTCCAACAAAAGCACATCTAAATAATAAACTTTTACGTGTGTTTCCCCAGTTCTTTATTTCCATTCCCTATTTGCCACAGAAATTCCAAAAGAAACGTACATCCTCCAAACAAACAACTACACCTAATTAATTTTGGGAAATCATAAACTGTTTCGTGCAAACCTGAAAGAGTCTTCCAAATAATGCTTTGAGAAGCTGTACGTGCCCATATTTCCAGGTGAAGGTACCTCTGTGAGAGATAGCATCGCCTTCCAGAGCCTCCTCTCTAGCCTCCTCCAGGAATATTGCACAAGGAAACAGTTGCCAGTAGGGGAGGGGAGAAAGGAGGAAAACGCTCAACAAATCCCAGAGCGAGGCAAATATACAAAGAGTGTGCATAGCTTCCCCACCCCTACTCCAGGCAAGCACACGCCTTAGCAGGAGGCAGAAAGGTCTTACGCCTTACATCTGCAATCCTACTTGGAGCCCCTAAAGCCCATCTTCTTTCTTGGAAAGGAAACCAAGGTTGCTGCCGGCTCACCAGCCCCACAGGCTGACGCCTGATGCCCGTGGGGCTGAGTTATGTTAGGCTCTCCTCCCATCGAAGCGCTCGGCTAAAGCTTTGTGGCCAACAGACCAGAGCCATCCCAGGAGAAACAAATACACACACTATTTGATTGCGCCCCAATTCATCTCTCTTTGTTGTGCCTCGTCTAGCTGTGGCTTTATTTGTGCAAATGGCAAGGAAGGAAAGGGGTGGAGGGAGAGCTCCAGACCTTATCTACAATGGAAATGGTCGTGGCAAGGATCTCGGGGATTGATCCCGGCCCCCGGACTGTGGGATGTCTCCCCGGCAAAGGTCTAACAATAACACCTTGACAGTGTCCTGGGGAAAAGCCCCACAATCACGGCTAACCGCGCCACACTGGGGCTTTTGTGCCAATGAGGAGACACTGGAGACTATTGATCCCAGTCATCTGTTCACCGAGCGTGCGGCTTGGAGGGGGCGGGAGGTGGGGGGGAAGACTTGTGTTCCAACCTGGCCTTTATGCGCGGTGGTGGTGGCGGCGGGACACGCGCCAGGCACCCCGCGTAAAGACGTGGGACAATGGCCCAAGCCCGAGGACGCAGGGACGTGGGACGCTGCTGCTGCTGCTGCTGCCGCTGCTCAACCCTGGAAGAAAGCTCCAGCTGCGGGGGGTCGCTGAAGCCCGTAGGCTGGGAGGCCCCATCCGCGCTTTGGAGGTGCGCTACCGCTTTAAAATAAAGGACCACAAAAGACTCGCTCCTTCGGTGGGGAAATTGCGCCTGGCTAATGCGAGTGGGGATGACTTGGGGAGGGGGTTGAGGAGGGTGGGGGCACACGAGCCAACAGTGGCTCAGGGCTCCCTCCCTCCCCCCCCTTTCCTCCCTCCCCGCCGGGCTGCACTGGCAGACAAATAACAGAGGAAGGCGAGTCACTCACCGTGGTCTTGACCGGCACGTAGAGCACTTGCTTGGCGCAGCCGCCTCCGCCGCGGACCTCGTCCGGCTGGCCCAGCTGGAAGCCCTTCGATTTGACCCAGAATTTAAATTTGGCGTTATCCGTGGAGCTTGACTCGGAGCCGTTGAGGAGCTGGGCGATCCGCTCGTATTTTTTACGGGTCACCGTCTTGGTCTTGCCTGAGTCCCCGTAAGTCCTAAGGCACCAGTCCTGGAACTGGCGGTACATATCGCGCTCGTTCTCCATGTTCCCTGCGCCCGGCCGCCGGCCCGAGGCTCCCGGAGCACTTCGCACCTGTTCACCCCAGGCTCATGAAAAATGTAGCCCAGGCCACGATGCAGGGACACGCGAGGTCCCGGCCGCCACGGGGTGGGGGTGGGGGCGGAGGGGGGGGAAGCCTGCTTCGGCTGGGAGGGGTGGGGGCAGCCGCGGGAAGAAGGGAGGAGGAAGGTCCGGTTGGGCACCAGCAATCAATGCCCTGTGCTACCCAGTCTGGTTCATTCGTAATGGTAATGGATGTCTCGGATGGACGCTTTTCTTGGCCCCTTTAGTATTGTGTGGCCAGGACCATCCCAACAGCATCTGGCCCCCAGGAGTTGGGCTTTTGAATAATTAAAATCGCATTCCTTGGTTTATTAAAAAAAATCCCAATATTGACTTGAGATGGTCCCTCGACGCCTCGTCCTGGGCTGTGTCCGGGGCAGGGCAGGTGGAGCGCAGCGCCGCCGCCTCCTCTCCCCGCGCGCGCGCGCTCCCGGCCGGCTTCCGGGCGGCTGGCCCCGCGGTCCAGGAGCGGTGCCTCTCCGGAAAGCAGCTGCCCAGCCCGAGTGCCCAAGAGCGCAGTAAGGGCACCCGGGTCCCCCCTCCCTGTCCCCCCCACCCTCTCCCCGGGCTGTCGCTCCTCCTGGGTCCTACTCGTCTTTGGCCTTCTCTGTGACAGGCGTTCAGGAACCAGAAAGAAAGTTCTTACCTGTCTCGTGTGCCCGCCTATCAAATGTTGTTTTACAAGAATTTTGAGATAACCAAGGTATTCTGGACGTGATTTTAAAATGTCATTTCTTCAGATGTACTGGGCTAAAATTCCAGACCCCTCCATAATTTGGGTCCTAGAAGTGAAGTCCCCGAAACGTGTTGAGCAGTCATGGAGATGTGGCCACAGTTCCATAGGATGGATGTAGTTAACCCCCGCTCCCCGGGGGAGATCTTCTCCTGGGGAGCCGTAGAAAAAAAACGCTGGCAGGCCGCCGGCAGCGGGCCTCCTGGATAATGGTGGGATCCCCACACAGGACTCCTCTGGCTTCTGCTGAAGTGGTACAAGACATAGAAGTAAGTTTATGCTCCAGATGCTCGAAACCTTCGGCATGGAAGGAAAATCATTTCCCCCCTGGCTGGGCCACAGTTTTCAGTTCAGACGGGAGCTTTCAGGTTGTCTGTTTCCCCCCCCTGCCACGTCATGGACACCCCCTCCACCGCTCCTAGAGGAGACAAATGTTGAGTTCCTCAGGACGATCCCCCCTCCCACACACACAAGCAAATAAAGAAGTCAGTGGTCTCTCCATTCAGGACCTCCATCCATCTGCCACAGGGCTGGAAATAGGGGAGTTCCCATCCTCCTCGCGCAGTGGCTGTGGCCGCTCCTCTTTATTCTACTCTCCGCCGAGGAGGCCCCGCGCCCGGTCCCAGGGAGCGGCTCTGGCAGCCGCCAGACGGGCCCCGGCCAGTGCCCTGCGCCTGGTCCGCCTCCGATCCCGCCACCTACGCCACTCGTCCCGATCTCCCCCTACGAACGCCCCGAGTGGGAACACGGAGTATTTGTGCCCCACCGCGCCGCAGCTGGTCCAGACACTTGCCAAAAAAAAAATGGTCAGTGGCTCCTTCTCGGCCAGGCTGAGTGTGTGCGGGTGTGTGCGTGTGTGTGTGTGCCAGGGAGCGAGGGTGTGCAAGGGGGGTGCGCTGCGTGTGTGTGTGTGTGCGCGCGCGCGCGTCTCCAGGAAGGTCTGGCAGCGGCGGCTGGAGCCGGGACTGACAGCCCGGGCGGAGCGCGAGCAGCTCCACACACTAAACCTCTCGCCTCTCCCCTCACCCCCACCCCTCCCACTCCCCTCTCCTCCCACCCCCACCCCTCGGCCCTTTCCAAGCTCTCTGATTGGCCAGTGGGACAAAAGTTTCTGTGGAGACGGCTGGGCGCTGACGTCACGGGCAGAATTGTCCCATTTAGGGATCCCGGGGGCAGTACGCGTGCTGCGGGCTGCAGGTTTGAGGCAGGAGGAGGTAGCAGCGGGCCGGGCGGCAGCCAGGTGGCAGAAAGGAGCACACAGCATCCAGGTGGGGGGAAATGACTCCAGCAGGGTTTCCATGGAGATTTCCTCTGGGTCTAGCCTAAAAACAGCAGATCAGCTGACACCATTAGCTCAGGACCTAATTACTGCTTATTGGAGCAACAAATGAGGGAGAGGGCCAGCTGCAAAGGAAGAGTTTTATCCCCCCCACCCCTCCCTGCATCTCCTCTTCTCCCCCTCTCTCCATTGCTCTTGAGTCCCTAGTGAATTCTCATTAACTTGCAAGATTCCTGCAACAACAGCTCTGCTTCTCCTGAGGCCACCCTGGCTGCTCTTATTCTATTTTCTTCTTTTGTATTAAAAAAAATGGTAAAACAAATCCGTGGTCCTGAGTCCTTCCCTGTTTTGTCCAATAAATATTACGTCAGGAGAACTCAGAGAAGGCACTGTCAAATAGAAGCCACAAGTAAAGCTAATGCGTGTGTATGGAGAGGGGAATGTGCCACTTACAATTTATTGAATCAAATATTTACTCGTGGGCCTTTCACATTGAAAACAGTATTAGGATCTTAAACACAAGATATATGGAACAACAACAACAAAAATCCTAGGCAGTAGAGTAGTTGAATTGACTTTCTAAATGAGTGGCAACTCTGTAAAAGTTTCCCCTTATGGTATCAAAGATAAGGGACAATTCCAAGTTAGCAGGTCTTAGTTTGTTGTATATTGGCCATTCTAATAGTTTCTGGGCAAATAACTGGTTTAGGAGGATATTTATATATTAAGGAAAAAGCTAGTCTGAGAGAATTTACTTTCTCCAATGGTTTTATAACTTACAACTACAAAATGTTTTTGGTAGCCTTCCTTTATTGACCATTCAAACTAAAATAATCTCTCCCCTAACCTTCTCTAGATAGTGTCTTGAAAACAGTTTTAAACACTGATTCACAGTGGGACAAATACTAATTTGTGCGTACATGTATCTATCCTCCACAAATTCATGGGAAATGTATATTTTTAAACCTGGGAAATATATTTTGTTATACATCATATGCGGTGATATTTGTCTTTGTTTCCACTTATTTTATTTGTTAAGGTTTAGTGACAATTATTACATTCATTTTATAACCCAGCACAGCTTGATCAGCAGCCTACAACTTGAAAAAAAATTGTTTCTGATCACTGAACTCTTATCATTCCTTGTGCTATATTTCCACTGAGGTAGGTTTTGTTGTTCAAATAGAGTCTTGGTTATATTTTTGTTGTTGTCAGAAATGGTGCTTGAACTCAGGGCCTAGGCACTGTCCCTTAGCTTTTTCCCTCAAGGCTGATGCTCTACCACTTGACCAAGGCTTCATATCTGGCTGTTTTAGTGGTAAGTCGGAACTCTCCTACTACAGCTGGATTTGAACCCCAAAACTCAGTTCTCAGTCTCCTGAGTAGCTAGGGTTATAGGCATGAGTCACCAGTACCCAGCAAGTTTATACTTTTCAAGTCACTTACAAATAAAGGATTTTAGCAAAATAAGCAACGCACACAGTACATGCTAAGTAAATAGATACTGTGTGCCTAAATTAGGGACAAAAGTAAGGGAAAAAGAAAAGAAGCATTCAATGGCAATGCTGGCCTGTTCCTGTTGGCTTTTGTTGGATGCTGTTTAAATGAGGTTGGTCCTCACTTATGGAAATGTCAGGGATTCACCACAACCATGTGTGTATTACCATTATGCTTGACATCCCAATGTATTGAAGTTAGAAAACTCTCAACATAAAAGACTAACAGAATCGAAATAAATGTCCCATCACCCATCCTTGTATTGTATTAACTAGATTTAATATATAAGGCAAAATAAAACCCCACAATATGAGAGTACATCCTGCAAAATGAATTTTTGAGGACAATGTAATTATTGAAAGAATATTCAAATTGGAGCAAAGGAACAGAGTGTTCCAGGACCTCGGGGCTGATCTTCTAAAAGCCCTGAGGATTCCCTTGCGTCCAGTAGAACTCAAAGTGTAGCCTGCTCTGTACTTGTAGGCATTATTGACTGAGATGGCTGAGCCAACTCCTCTGGTATATCACGGCCATCTCAGAGCCAAAGCAATGGACAAAATCTAAAATCTGTGTCAGAGAATCACTTTGGACTCATTTTCCTCATTTTCACTTCTTTACAGTTTTCTTACCAGCTTTGCCCCAAGGTTCATCATCTGCCTCTTCTTCAACAAGGTAGTCCTATTGAACAGGCTACCTTGAATTTAACTTAGCCTCTTCTTCAGAAGTGTCTCTGCCAAGAGAGTATCTTGGTAAATATGTAGCTCTTCACCAATACCCATCTGGGTTTGACCTGGGTCCAGAGTCCTGCCTATTTGGCAGGCAGAGAAAAATTGGAGAGAAGAGTTTGATAGACAATAGTATATTGAAAATTATATTTTAATTCTAAAATTAAAAAAATGAGCAATCAAAACTAGTTTGTTATAAAAGTTACACTTCTTTCAACCTCATGGTCAACTAGTATATAATGTCTTTTAGTATCAATCACAGATATTCCTGCAACACTAGATTCATCAGCTAAATGTGAAAATGCAAACTACATAGTAATCATAAAATCAATGTTCAACCAATAAACCTTTTATAAATGCACCTATGCAAGTATTCTTTCACCGGGTACCATTGGCTCATGCCTGTAATCCTAGCTACTCAGGAGACAGATCTGAGGATGGCAGCTCAAAGCTAGCCCTGCAAAAAAGTCCATAATAGTCTTAACACCAATAAACTACTAGAGAACCAGAAATGGCACTGTGGCTTAAACGGTAGAGCTCTTGCCTTGAACTGAAGAGCTGAGGGACAGCGCCCAGGCCTAAAGTTCAAGCCCCGTGACTGAAAAAAAAAACCAAAACAATTTTTCATTCTAAAAATAGTAAGGAAGCCAAGTACTCAATAACATCAAAGTACTCAAGTAACATCAAAATGGTCAGTAGGTAGATACTATATATAGCCCGCATCTCATAACACTCAAAAGCTTCCAAGGAAAATAGAAATACACAAGGAATAAATAAATAAATAATTTATTAGAATAAATAAAGTTTTTAT